CCACAGCAACCTCCAACTCCTGGGCTCAAGTGAGTCTCCTGCCTCAGCCTCCCAAGTAGCTGGGACCACAGGCGCCCGCCACAACGCCTAGCTATTTTTTGGTTGCAGCCGTCATTGTTGTTTGGGCAGGCCCAGGCTGGATTTGAACCCACCACCTTAGCTGTATGTGGCTGGCGCCTTATAGTGACCTTTTTTCATGGGTCGTGTTTTGGCGTGTCAAATCCAAAAGGTCAGTGCTGGTTAGCATCCTGTGTACTCAGTACTCATCTCAAACCAGTAAATCAACAACTACAGGCCCACATAGGAGAAAAACATAAGTAAACGTAAGAAGGGGGTAGGAGGAAGAGGGCTGGGTAAGACCCCACCTGTTGGATAGGTTGTGGGATGTGTCGCTCCTCCTGGGACTTCCAGCTTCACCTTATGAATGAGAACAAAATAACCTAATCGTATGTACCCTAACACTAAATCCCAAAAGTCAGTGCCAAACCACGCTCATGTAGATGTCCCCTATGTTCTAGGACTTTTATAGCTTTTTGTTCAACATTTAGGTCTGTGATACATTTTAAGTTAATTTTGGAAAGGTGTGAGGACTGGCGTCTAGATTCCTTTGTTTGAGTGCAGACATCCAGCTGTTGTAGCACTGTTTCTCCAGAAGCTGTCTCTGCTCCTTTGCCCCTTTGTCAGAGGTGTTTGTATATATATTTAAATTCACAAAGGGTGCCAAAAAACGTACACACATTTTAAGAAAGGAAGGAACTCTATTAAAATTGTAATACTCAATATATACTGATAGCAAAAGATGAACACAGTCAGGTTGAGCACCCCTTGTATTCGAGGATGTCCAATGTAACTTGAGTATTACAAATTTAGTACAGTTTTTTCCTTTATTAAAATGTGTGTACATTTTCTGGCACCCTCTGTATGTTGCATTTATTATAGATGAAGTCTTTATCAGATACTGTTTCACAAATATGCTCTCCTAGTCCACAGCTTGTTTCTTTTTTCTCTGAACAATATCTTTACAGAAGCAGAAATATAAATTTTTTATCCAGTCCAGTTTATTAATTTTTTCCTTTTAAATATCTTGTTCTTCATCTTAAATATGTTGCATTGAAGACATCATTGCTTAGCCCAAGTTACAGAGGTTTTCTCTTAGGAGTGTTACAGTTGTGGGTTTTGCATCAGGTCTGTGGTGTGTTGCAAGCTAATTCAGCACAGGGTGTGTGAGGTGGTGCCCTGACCACAGCTGCCCCAGCACCGCTCCTTGACAGGACACTCCTCCCTGCCTCTCTGCCTCCCTGCTCCAGGCCCTGGTCTGCTCATTTCCTTGACTGCTTTGATGCTAATAACTGTTGTGTCTTGATACTGTAGCTGAATAGTAACGAGAGTTTGGCTCTTCTAGATGCTTTGTATTCCTGTATGAAATTTAGAATCAATGTTATAGTTTTCAGAAGGGCCTGTAGGATTTTTGTTGCATTGCATTGATTCTGTAAATGCACTTGAGGGGAACTGATATCCAATACTGAGTTTTCCAGTCCACAGAATCTCTTTTTTGTTGTTTTGTTTTTTGAAACAGGATCTTGCTCTGTTGCCCCAAAGTGCCATGGCATCATTGTAGCTCACAGCAACCTTGAGCTTCTGGGCTCAACTGATCCTTCTGCCTCAGCCTCCTAGTAACGGGGACTATAATTGTGTGCACCACCACACCCAGCGAGCTTTTTCTATTTTAAGTAGAGATGGAGGTATTGAACGCCTGGCCTCAGGCAATCCCCCTGCATTGGCCCCTCAGAGTGCTAGGACACAGGTGTGTAAGCCACCACACCTGACCTGTCTCTTCATTTCTGTGGGTCTGAACATACTCCCTGAGGAATATTCCCATATTCCCTGCAGTGCTTCGCAGGTTTCAGGGCACAGTTCTTTTATCAGATTACTGACTGAGTACAGTTGGGAGCCATGTGATGACACATCAGCCAACAGCAGCCTGCAAGTGTGAAGGTGGTCTCGTAAGGTGGTGACACCTCTTCTCCTGTACCTGTCCTTTGTTCAGATATTTAGATGCACAAATGCCATCATGTCACAGCTGCCTGCAATGATCAGCATAGTAACGTGCTATGCAGGTGTGTGGCCCGGGAGTGACAGGCCACACTGTGCAGCCTTGGTGTGTGCAGGCCATGTGCATCCCATGTGTGCAGCTTGGGATCACGTGGTGATGTTCTCTCAGAGTGTGTTTTTGTTGCTCAGCATGTGACTGTACTTCGTTTTGTTAATACTATTATAAAATTTTTTTTTTTTTTGAGACAGTCTCACTTTGTTGCCCTTGGTAGAGTGCCGTGGTGTCACAGCTCACAGCAACCTCAAACTCTTGGGCTCAAACTATTCTCTTTGCTTCAGCCTCCCAAGTAGCTGGGACTACAGGCACCTGCCAGAAAGCCTGGCTATTTTTAGAGACAAGGTCTTGCTCTGGCTTGGGCTGGTCTCTAACCAGTGATCTCAGGCAATCCACCCACCTCAGCTTCCCAGAGCATCCAGGTGCTATTGTAAAGATTTTAATTTCCAATTGCTTATTGCTAATAGCTAGAAACACAGTTAACTTTTGTATATTAATCTTATACTGTATACACACACTAAAACCTGGTTAAACTCAATCAGTTCTAGTTTTCTGTGGGAATTGTATCAGATTTTCTACATAGTTATGTTCATTGTCTATGAGTAACAGTTTTCTCTCTGTGTACTCAGTCTGGGTGCCACTGGTCTGGTCCCTGTCTCAGGTGCTGTACACTGGCTGAACAATGGTGTTCTGCTGAGCAGCAGACTAGTGAGTGGGTGAGCCCGCCTCAGCCTGGCGTGCTATTCCCACCCGTAAGTGTGACACAGCAGTAGGGTTTTCAGAGGTAGCATTTATCTGGTTGAGGTGGCTCCCTTCTGTTCTTAGTTTGCTGAAAGTTTTTATCAAAAACATGTTGGATTTTGTTGAATACTTTTTCTGTATCTATGACATGGTT